CGGCCCCCGGCGGACGGCACCTCTGCCCCGGCACCACTGAGCAGCCCTCCTGCAGCCTGACATGGAGAAGGCAGCCGGCGTGCTCTGCGCCCTCCTCCTCCTCGCCGCATTGTGCTGCCAGAGCCCGGCTCAGAGTGAGCACTGCCACCTCGGGGACAGCCCCCAGGGCTGTGGGGATGGGTTTGCTTCATGCATGGGGTGCAGGGGGGCTCCGTGAGAGCCTTCTCATGGAGAAGAGCTGCCGTATCCATGGCAGAAGGGCTGAGATGGGAGGTGGGGGTCTCCAGGCTAAACCGAGCTTATGCTGTCTCTTCAGGAGCCCCGGCCGTGCCAGACAAGTGCTGCTTCAACTTCCAGATGAGAAGGATCAAGAGAGACAATGTGGTTGCCTGCTACCCCACCAGCCCTGAGTGCCCGCACCAGGCTGTGATGTGAGTACCCCAAACCCAGCCCTGGGGGTGAAGCCCCTCTAGAACCTGCCAGACCCCGTGCCTTGCTTTAGTGGGTCCAGTCCTGACCCTCTGTGCCTCCAAGCCCCTCGGAAACTCAGCACCAGGGTCTCCATACCAGCACCCCACTAATCCCATCTTCTCTCTGCCCCAGCTTCAAGGTGAAGAGCGGGAAGGAGATCTGCGCTCAGGCAAGCAGGGCCTGGGTGAAGAGGTACCAGCAGAACTTCCAAGTCAGCTCCTTCTCCATCCCCAGCTAGCAGGGTGGCCGGAAGCAATGCAGGGAGTCCCCTCCATGGGGGACGGGACACTGCGAAGGCGACCCCTTAGCAGAGGTGGCTGTGAGGACACCACACTTGGATATAGCAGCTCATCAGGGACATCCTCCCCATCACGCTGTGACGACCCTCACCACCTCCCCGCTGGCAAAGGGCCTTTGCCATCCCACCGGGATGGGTTGTGCTGACCCCGCAGGGCACTGGGGTGCAGACCCGCTGCCAGCCCCCCCAGTCTCAGCCCTGCTTTGCACACAGGCAGCTGCCCGTGCCCCTGGCCGGCAGCAGCCGCGTGTCGGTGAGGATGTGCTGGCTGGCCTGGCAGCAGCAGAGGGGTTAAGGGGGAGCAGTTCCACGGCTATTTTTTGTACAACGCACTGAACAGAATTAAACGTGATCTCATGCATGCAGACATCTGGCTGTGCAAGTGTCTTGGGAGCGGGCAGATCCTGGCTTTCCTACCTGGGTGTTAAACCACATCTGTAAGTGCTGGGGTCAGTAAGGAGCTGGGAAGAGCCAAAGCCCCAACCATGTCTCTGCAAGGGAGCCTGGGGGGCCAAACCATGTCCATGCAGGCTTTGGGGAAGCCGCCAGTGAGAGGGGTGAGAGGCGGGCACAGCCCAGGAGGAGGGGGCTTCCCATGCTCCTCGTCAGCCATCCTAGGGAGTCAAGACCCTTGGCTCAAATTTAATGAGAGCAGCCTCTCGGAGGTGCCTGGTCGAGCCTCACTGACAGCCCCCGCTTCTGGGATGCCGGAAGGAGATGTGATGGGCACTGCCACTGTGATGGGCACTGCCACTGTGACGGGCACCGTGATGGGCACAGCCGCCGCGATGGGCAGCCAGAGGTGGGTCTCAGGGCGGTGGGCTGGGGTGAGCCCAGGCACTGCCAGGCCACTGACCCCAGCACGAAATTGCAAGAGAGGCATTGCAGCCGAGTTGACAATGGGTGGTTTTCGAAAATAAATTCACCAGGGGCTTTGGCAAGCGCGAGCATCATCCTGTGTGGTTTGCCGGCGGCAACAACCAAACCCAAAATAGACTGCCAGCCCCAATGCATCACCAGCAGCGCAGAGCTGCCGGCTGCTCGCCACACTTTCCAGCAGCCCTCGGGTACCGCAGGGGCTGGAGGGGCCCAGGAGAAGGAATTTCCATTCACTGGTTGCCCTTTATCAATGTATCTGGGCGGTTCTTTCCCCGGGCAGTCCAGAGCTGTCATGGAAAGCCTGGCCAGGGGGTATATCATGCCAAGGTGCAGGCAGGGGAGGCAGGGAGCTCTCAGTGGCCCTGGGTCAGCAAGAGCTGCTGGCTGCTGGCGCTGACCAAGCCCCGGGTTGGACATGAAGGTCTTCTCCTTGGCCCTGCTCACCCTGCTGCTGGTGGCTCTCTGGACTGAAAGCCAGGGTGTCTCCTGTAAGTACCGATGCTGAGCCTTTCCCCACGGCTACCCCGGCACTGTCCCTGGCTTCTCCACTGACAAGGTTTTGGGGGGTTGTGGAGGGGGACAAGAGCTTCAACTCCTGCTTCTGCCATGGGTTTGGGGGGGCTGTGGGGTATTGCCAGCTGCCTGAGCATGGAGCTGTCCTGGTCTTGTTCAAAATGAGTAAAAATAGGCTTGGGGATGGTTTCAGACCCAGCACCCCAGATGGGAAGCTCAGTAATAATCCCCCATGAGCAGGGAAACAGGGGGGCCCTGTCCTGGGGCAAAGCAGTCGGGGATGCAAGAGGGGACCCCTTGTAGCGGGAGGGAGCAGGAGAGTCCCTGGGGGAGCATCCACATCCTCAGGGGAGCACCCCCACCCCTCATGCCAGGCGTGGGAGAGCACTAACCCCTCTCACCTCCTCTCAGTCCGCAGCCGCTACAGCAGGTGCTGCTACAGGGACATGTTCTTCCGAAAGAAAATCCCTGCTAACCTCATCAAGAGCTACCAGGAGACGCCTTCCCACTGCTCCCACAGAGCTGTGTAGTGAGTACCCCGAGTCCCCACCAAGCCTTCCTCCCTGGCACTCCGCTCTTCACCCTTGCTCACCCACCTTCCCTGTCAGTTCTGCCTTTGGGGATCTCCCAAAACAAGCCACCCCCAAAGGGTGCGTTAGGTGGGGGTACCCTGCCCTGGCTCTTCACATGCACCTCCTTCCCCATTGCTTTATCCCAAATAGCCCCAAAATCCCCTGTTTCAGCTGCCAGTTAGAAAAATGGGAAGGAAGACGAGGTTTCAGAGATTGCTAAAAGTCAGCACTTCTGGGTGATGCGGGGGGCAGGATGCTGCAGGCATCCCCAGGCTGGAGGGGGAGCCCCAGGGCATGGCCAGATTCTGCGCCCCCACAGCTAACACAGCCCCTTTCTCCACCCCCCCCAGTGTGGAGCTGCTGAAGGGGAAAAAGTTCTGCGTGGATCCGACAGCAGACTGGTTCCAGCAATACCAGCGGCAGAAGGCGTCGATCAGCACCTCCACGTGAACCTGCCTCCCGTATAAGCTCTATTTATTTGCACTCCACAATTATCTGTATGTTCTCGTCTCGTCAAGTTATGGAACTGGTTCCATGACCCCCTTGCTGTCACCCCCTCCAGACTTCTATATGACCCTCAAAGGGTTTAATAAAACATCTTGTGCTGACCTGCAGGTGGAGTGAGATGATGTAAACGCATCGGGAAAAAACATGGGACATATAAGGGCTCAGATAAGGTGGGGTTTGACTCCCGGCCATGGTTCTCTGCCAGCACCAGCGGTGAGGCTGGGGGTGTCCGTGCCGTGGCACCTGAGCTGGGCTGGGCTCTCCGTCCGCAGAGCAGCTCC